TGTTTTGCCTCATCTTTGTGACGTGACGTTTGGCGGAGCTCAACCAAACAACCGACCGCATCACCAGACAAGAGTTCATCAAAAAAATGTGTCCCTCCGCCAAACTTTCCTTGTGGAACATGAAGAAAATAGATATTTTCGATAGAACAAAATATCTATTTTCTTCATGTTCGACAAGGAACGCTAGATATGCATTCTTTAAACTCTTGCAACACTGAATGTTTTTAAATATATACTTTTTGAGTGCTTACTTAAAGAGAAAAAACAGAACAATAAGAACTCAGTTTTCATTAGTATGATTTGTTCTTTTAATAGTCTTGATGCTGTCCAGTCCAGGATGTCCCTCTTCCTCTTCCCACTCTCGTCCTTTATTTTGCTTGGCTTATGAGGACGTGCAGACAGACAAATGTCCAGTAAAACCAGTAAAGAAACGAAGCAGCAACACATTGTTTGGAGGAATGGAGTAATAGATCATTACAGTATTTACTGTTAGAAGAAGGTAAAAAATAAAAATCTATTCAAAATATAGGAAGTAAATCCAAGACATATTGTCCTTAAATTTGTTTAAAATATCAGGGAGCAGTGGCCATTTCTGGTTAAGTTGTTGACTGTAAACAGGCAAAACAACACAAGCAATTTAATTCTAGCAGGTTTACTGGTCTGTAGATATAAATCTGTAATATGTTTTAGTAAACACACATTAGATTATTGTATGAATGCCTGAATACAAGCTAACATCTAACTAACTGTTAGATTATTGTGTGAATGTCTTGATGGGAAATATTCCAGAAATTATCTGGAGCAATAATAGAGGTTTACTGAAAAATACAATTAACAGTTGACAAAATATTTTTAACCTCCATGATTCCCTTTATTCAGACCTATTTTCTCATTATATTCTATTATTGGTCTAATTAAAAATATGTGTAAAGTTTTCATTTGATAGAAACAGTATACTATACATAACTATATATATCGCAGTGTTTTAGCAATTAGCTTGTGCATAGACATAGACACATATTTAGAATATAGTTAAAATTATAATATCGTTATACACACATATAAACTACAAAATTAAAGTTATACGTTTTAATACATAACTACGTTACAGTGTTTTAGCTGAATAAGCGTCGACATGACGTATATCGTATATATTTTCCTTTAAATCAGAGATTTAAATTTCCCTTCCCCTGCTCATTTAAAGTTCTCGCCACTGTGAATAAAGTTCCAGAACCACCACAACATTGCGTTGCTCACGGTTGCCAGTGGGGGGAAGCATTAAGCTGTGTTGGAAAACGTGTTATTTCAAACACACTGTCCTACTTGTGTGTAAATGTAATAAAATAGGTGTAAAAAATAACAACAACATGGAGCGGGTCAGGGTACAATCTGTTACACAAACATATGTGTTTGAACGTTCAAGTGCTGTGAACGCTCACAGCCATGTTTAAACAGCCCCCCCCCCCCCCCCCATTACCCTGGAGCCTCAGCTCATCTGGTCACTGCTACAAATTACAATGTATATTTGTTCTTCAGCCAGGATGGATTTACTTTGTGATTACATTCTGGGAAAAAGTAGTAGAGGGAAAAAAAACCCATCTATTGTACCAGTGTATCTTCCACAGATGCCTGTTTAGATTTTGGTTTTTCTGAAAAGTACTTTTCCACTCACCCAAATGACATTTGGCTGAAGGCTGCTCTTCCAATCATCAAACCACATCTTTTGCAACAGGACAAGCGTAGTAGCAACTTCTCTGCCGCCTTTCCAGCCTTTCTAATGACACCTCCGCTGGAATGGTGTGTTTATAGTGTTACTGATTGAGGGCTTCTTTAAAAATCCTGCCCGAACCATAACAGAATGTGTTTCTTCACTTACCCACGCCCAGTGGAAAGGCCTGGGTCCAGTGTATACGGGATTCTATCATATTCAAAATGGAAACATACTTTATTTTGGTCCTTGTGTACGCTGAACGTCTGACTGTCCCCTGACTGATGTGATGTCCGCCACTGACTGAGGGGCTTCATTGTATGTGCAGCGAATGCATCACCCTTTCATCTCCGACTTGATTTAGCAATTAACAGCTGTGAGGTTTTTAGCCCGGGTGGCCGAGGCTGCTCTACCAAAACTCTACACATCTGTGAACAATATGTATCAAATACAAATGTTTCAGGAAATGTTTCCCTGCTGATGGTTCCTCCTCAAGGCCAAGAAAACACAATATTGCCAGCTTGGTGGAAGTCATTATGTGTTTTTACACAAACTCTTCCCGCCAGCAGTTCAGGTACATGTCAAACAAGTAACATTTGATGACTCCCATGTCTCCTTTGGAAGCGGAGGAGCTCGTGATCAACGTGCACCTGTTGAGGGTCCTGCAGGTTTTCTCAATCTGCTGTGTTTCCGTTGGCTTCACGTTAACGGGTTTGAAGTAAAGAGGAGGAAGTGCCTCAGGAATGTTTTTGGTTTGGGTCAAACCACTGTTGCCAGTGAATTTCCATCAGTACAAGTTTGTGAAAGAAAGAGACAAAGTTTTGACAGAGAATTGTAATATCTAAGAGATTCATTAGGACAACACGGCGATGGAGTGGTTAGTGGTCTTGCTTTACAGTGCGAACATCACTGGTTGCACCCATGTAATAATCGATGGTCTCTGTGTACGGAGTTCAGATCTTCTCCAGGTCTGTGTTGGTCCAAATACCTACAGGATCAGGTCAATTATTCACCCTAAACTGGACCTTAGGTGTGAATGCCAGTGTGAACAGTTGTTGTTTTTTCCCCTCTTTACATGGATCTGTCTGACTGACTGTTCAACTATCCAGGGTCCACCCAGTCCTCACCCAATGACTGCTGGGATTGGCTCCAGATCCCCCAAGAAGATGAATGAATGAAAGTCCATTAGTGATTCTTCAGTGCGTGACTCAAGTACACTGGAGTGGGAACAGTCATGAGTGATTCATAGCAGGAAAATGTGTTATTTGTTCATTTAAGATTGTTGTGTTTAGTTGTTGTTTTTTTTTAAAAAAAAACACTTTAGTCCAGTTTAGAACACTAGAGTCCAATATCTTCATCTGTGTTTCTGACCGGTCCAAAATCCAAACTGCACCTGTACAGTGTTGTGTATCTCCGTCCTCCAGTCACCCTCTTGCATCACTTCACTCATCTCCACCATGGTGAGGCCTGTGTTTATACACGGACTGACCCCACACACCTGACGCATTTCCTTCATGGACAGGGTATTTATTTAGATTGCAGTCTGGAGCGCCTGATACCTTCCACAAGCACAACCATCTGTTTCTAATTTGGCACTCAAGGCTCAAGGGCTAAAACACTGGTGAGTATTGAAGGAGAGGTGAACGTGAGATTGTCAACAACAACAGCCAGGGTTTTATATCTGCAGCCGAGTGAAGACTGAATCAGAAAAAAATTAAAATTAAAATAAAAACTCTGCTGTGATCATTCTCTGTAACAAGCTTTGATTTTGTCTTAATTAAGTCTTACACTAACTGTACATTTTGGCAGTTTCCTCTTGAAGGATTTGAAAACTTCCTTCAGCGTACACAGATCTGCCAAACAGAGGTCTTCACCAATCTCCAGCTTAAGGTGGCAAACTTTATTGAAGCAGAAGCTAAATGTAAGCCCTCGGTCAGGCCAAAGCATCCTTTAGTGCTCCTGGAGCTAGAGCCAGGGAGATTATCATGTCAGGAGTAATCCGACTCGGCCCACAAGCACAACTACTGAGGAGAAGGAGGAGCAACGGTTGAAGGGGGGAGGCAGGCAGAGGAGCTCTCTGCTCCACTTACAGTAACCACGCGCTCTCTCCTCACCCAAAGTCATCTTCTTGACCTAGAGAGTTCCTGCTGTGAGGGGAGACCCACGACTGGACACAGGGTAAGGACCTGCACGCTCTTCTCTTTCCTGCACAGCTCTAGAGTGTTGAAGAACTGTCCTGAGGGCAAAGAAGTTTCACAACAGAGGTGGAGAAGTTAAAGTTATGACTGAGGTCTGGCTCAATACCTCACACCGTTCCTCAAGTTTTGATCTGCTCCTGTGGTGTACCGCGCATCTGTTCGTGTGAGGAGTGGGAAGCTTCAGGATCTCCATCAGAAAGGACATGTTGACAGGAGTTTTCTGAGGTGAAGCACGTGTCAGCTGCTTCTCTAAACATCCATCTCTCGTCTATCTGAATGAATCAACCTGCCATCAAGCTATGAAGCCCTGGCTTCTCCGTAAAAGAATGTTGATAGAGATCTTTGCAACTTAAGAGTTCTGTGGAAGTGCAAATATGATAAAAAAATAAGACAGCTTGGACCTGAATCAAGTCAGGACACCACCCCTACTTGCAGGCACAGGGAGTTGGGATGCTTTCCATGGGAACTGCGCTCGCTCGTCGCCTGTGAGGATGATGGACTTACCAAGCCAGCACTTGCCTGTGGAGGTCAGCTGAAGACGACGCCACGCAGCTAAGTCTGGATTAGCCGGCCGAACGGTAAGGACACCGCATCTTCTTTTGTGAGTCTAAGCCAGCAGCTTACGCAGAAGGCGTCAAAGTGCCTCTGACAAGGATGGCTGGTGAAGTACATTAGTGACAGAAAACAAAAGTTAGGTGATCTGTATCAACAGGCGGCCCCTGCAGGAGCCACATGTCAGTGACGCACAGCAGCCTGTCACGAAATGTTTACAGAGTGGTTACCATTGATTACAGGCTGCAAACCATTATGTCGGAGAAAAAGTGAAGTGTTTCTTATAGCAGTTCAATCCATCTTAGTAGATTTTAACAACCTTTCACCACAAGGACAAGTTTACTTTGTCAGGGAGGAATATTTTCCTTTCGTGTCACTTCACCAACATGGCGGTTTACTCATTATCATACATAATTGCTTTCCACATACTCTCTGGATACATTGTCCCAGAGGTTTGAGCAACGCTCAGAGACACCCATATTAAGTATTTTCCCCAGACATTTATTTAAAGAGCCCAACTTTAATCATTTCAATCATTTAGACAATGTCTGCAAAAGCCCTGTAAATATATAGTGGCGATAGGCTGAGATCGACCTCAGGAGAGTTATTAAATGTGAGTTTAAAAAGCAGTGACAATCCCTTTCCCACTGAGCCCATATCATACGTAGAGATTATACTGTATCTAGAGGAGCCCTGAGGGGACGGGTAGAGGTTAAGCCTGAAGTCAAGTGGTGGGTACAACTTCCATGACGTGCTGAAGCTGGTCATAAGTAAAGAAAAGTGGAGGGATTAGCTGACACGATGCACCACACCTTCATGTACCAACAACGTATTTTTATTTGTCTGTTGTTTGATGGCATTTAGACATTAAAAATAAAAGAAGAATTTCAGTCTGAAGAAAGCACAAGACCTAATGATCATCATATTTAAGATGTTTGTGCTTGTTTGTGCTTGCTGCTGTGGGTCATATTTGAATGTGGTATTCATCGTGTGCCAGATGGCCCATCAACCTTTTTGTAACAGCAACATCACCGTGTTTAACATGGCTTTAGAGCCAGTGCTGTTGTGTTAAAAGAGGATCTGGCAGAGACAGATTAGCAGCCAGAATAGTAGCTCACGGACTCTTCTTTGGAGTAAATCCTCCTTGTTTTTTTTTTTTTTTTTGCATAATAACAGTGAAGCATGATGACAACTACATACCAAGATTTTTTGTCTGCCAGAAGGAAAAAAAAATTAAAATGCATGTATCAACTATACCTCAGACAAACTTTAGCTGGAGCTCTGCTTTGCAAACGGCGCCAGGTGTCATGTGCACGCATTTGGCCATCATCAGGGCAACAAGTTTTTGGAAAGGTCAGAATCTCTCCTGCTGGAGGTGAAGGATTAGCAAAAATAAAGAAAAACATTTTAACCTATTTACACTGCAGTAATAAAATCCAGGAGTGTGTTTAGAATTCACAGAACGTGCATTAAAATAATCACTTTTTTTTACATTACTAACGTGTTTCCCTTACTTTCCTTTTTTTCAGTAATGAACGGCAGCTTCCTGCCTAACAAGGAACAGACTTGTTTTAATTACACTATGGTTAGTGAGAAATAGAGAGGGAGCCAACTGAGGTGGCTGCCCAGTCAAATTACAGCACTTTCTAACCCAAGTCTTTTCAGTTGCATTAGAACGGAGGCTGCATTTAGAAGACGCCAATCCAGGCTCTGGACATCCACTTTATTTCACCGCCTTTTGTCAAAGCTCAAGGTCAAACCGAAGCAGAGAGCACGTCACCTTCTTTTAGTCAATATTCTGAGACTGAGAGCAGGGAAGACTTTGGAGGTAGAAGTCGAAGAACTGTGTGTTCGTGCTGCGCTCGCTGTGTCCTGCCTGGAGTTAGCGGTGTCTGACGGATTAACAAACACATGCACATGCACGGCAAGGTCTGTGCTCCGCCACCAACTCTGCAGCCAGGTGTTAAACCACGTGACTGGAGATAAAGCCCAGCAGGCATTAGTGCTAATCCCGCCCTGATCTTTGGAATATGTCCCTATTACCTCCCCGAGCGTTCTCTAGCCGTCCCCCGGGCCTTCTGATGCTCACTTACGAGGGAAAAGACAAGGCACTGCCTCTCTGGGACGCCCTAAATCACCTTGTTACCGTGCAACAACACAGTAGGTGCCTTTCCCACTGTTTGTTATGCTGCTGTTATCTTTGCACTGCAGGTATTTGTAGGGTGTGTTCAGAGTAGCTCAGACACATCCGCTCACATGGTTGGTGCAGCGCTGAACCACACAGTAGTGGTGATAATGTTCTTTCAGTTACAGGCCTGGGGTTATACAGTGGCAAACACACAGAGGTTAGACACTGGTAGATATCAGGAGGCATCGGAGTTATGTAAACTGGATTATCGGCTGTTCTGTGACTCTGCTGCTCAGAGACGTGTGTGCGAGTTCCTCCACGTCCCTGGGAGCTTGGACTTCGCCTCCATCTATTCATGACTTGTATGATTTGGGCAGAGTGAAGCCACGCCAGTGTGTGTGTGAGTGTATGTATGGTATGTGTGAGTCAGAGCGAGCCAGAGACTGAGGCTGTGTTCAGTGAATGTACACAGGAGGAAATGCTACAGAGCGATGGCACATTAAAGT